CAGACACACTGACCCCCCAGGACCTCGATTACCCAGTCCAGGTCTCCAGGTACTCACTGGCAAACAGCTCCTCCTTCAGGCTCTTGACTTCTGGGTAGATCTCCAGGATGTGCTCCTTGAATGCACACTCCCAGAAGTCTCTGATCTTGTGGGGGGTTTTCTCCTCCAGCTGCTGCAGCAACTGGTACAGAGCTCTCTCCTTGTTCTTCGCTTGGATCACCTTCTGTACAGGCAGCGCGCACACGCACAACCACGCACACAAGACACACATGCACAACCATACACATACAAGATACACATGCACAACAGGGCACACCAGAGACACATGCACAACCATGCACACAACAAAACACATGCACAACCATACACATACAAGATACACACCCACATAAGACACACGTGGAAAACAAGGGAACAACATCATCGTCTTAGTTTTTAATGAATCAGTTCAGCTGTTGTAGTAATGCAGCTGGAAGCTCAGCGTGTTCAACCAGGCAGCCCAGCCACAGCCCTCAGTTTGCTCTCTCATGCAGGTGCTGCTGTCCCTCGTCACACTGCATTGTCTTCAGCTGGGAGACTCCTCAGGTAGGAGGTAAACTGTCCCTCTCACCGCCTTCGCCACTCAGTCCTGCTCTGCTAGCTACATCGAACCCGGAGATCTCGGATCTCGGATCTCGCCCCGGCCCGGCGCTGACCTCGGGCTGGTCCTCCGCGATGACGTCCAGGTCCCTCAGCTGGTTCAGCAGACGCTCCGGCTCCCGGAGGCAGGACAGCTCGGTCCGCTTCCTGCGGAAGAAGCTCCGCAGCTCTTGCTCGGACCTCTGGCTCAGCGTGTCCATGCCTGGCAGAGAGGATCAGGGGAGGCCGTGAGGCACAGCGCCACCAGCTGGCAGGGCGCTGAAGCGCAGGTGGTGGGCGTGTCCTGTTAACCGTGCCTGATTCCAGAGCAGCAGTGTCTTTCTACAGCCCTGCCCTCTAAATGAGTCCCTACTAGCGCGTCATACAATTTGAACACCCCCTTACTCACTGTCCATTCCTCACCTTTTAACTGGGCATTCTAACATTTTGTTTTCCTTTTATTGTTTCATTTCTTATGCTCAGCTGAACGCCCCCGGTACATACCGCTCTGATGCAACAGCATGGGTTGTTCAGTGGAAGGTGGGAAAATACCGTTAGAAATATCATTAAAAACGGACCAGTCTGCAGAAGGGAAAAGTGTTAAACGTCACAGATGAATTTCATGCGTTTAAGAATGGCCCTCTATCTTAATAATAATAATTCAGACACGGCCGAACGTTCGCTCCAGCTGTTGCAGGTCGCTGGTGTTCAGCGGTCTCCAGCTCCTGCCACAGCCTGGACTCAAGGGCCTCCTCCTGCCCTTTAAGCCACTCTGGGCTTGTTGTGGCTCTGCGTCTGGGGTCAGTGTGCTGTCGATGTTACAGTACCGGCCTCCAGCCACCAGAGGGCACCTGCACGGTCACGGCTTATTTCACCCACTCTGGGGAGGCGTGGGTTAACCCTTTCAGTCTATTTAAGCCCAGCTGGCTGCGTCTACCTTTGCTCAGTATTGGGCTGTACCTCTTGAGAGACGCTTCAGAGACTTATTTTGGGGGCTGTGATTTTGACTGCTAGATTGCTCGCTCGAGCCTGGTTTCAGGAATTTGACTGGTGTTGACGATTTGATCGCTCTTCGGCTGTCTGGACTTTGTGCTCTTTGTGTGATTCCTGATCGGCCCGTTAAGGGCGTCCTTGTGATCTCGTCACCCGCACAGGGTCCATCATTCAACGCGCTGGCTGATATCCAGCTTCGCACTGGGGATCCGAACCTCCGCCCCAGTGTCGGGTCGTCTGCGGGCTGCTCCGGGACTGGTCCGTGTTTCCGTCCATCTGCTCTGCCCTCTGCTCCGGCAGGCCGACCGGTCCCCGGCGCTGGGAAGCAGCTCCCGCTAAGTTTCACCGCGGGGAGGGAGTCTCTGTGAGGGATGAGCAGCGCTGCTCTTCCGCCGGACATACCGCTGGGCGTGAAGGCCAAATCACTCCGGTTTGATCTCGTCGGTGCACAAAATCTTACACCGTTTCCGAGGCTCCGACGCGCCTTTTTGCATATTCAAAACGGGCCTTCGTGCGAGCCTCTTTCGAAATACGGCTTCCTCCTCGTGCCTCTCCATCTCGCTGGCTCTCGCAGTCTCTCCCATCTCTTGAGAGGTCTCTGGGGGTTGTCTTCTGCCTCTTGACCGCTTCCCCCGTGTCCTTCTCCATGTCCGTCTGCACAGTTTTGCAGGAGGACCGGGTGGTGGACGACTCTAAAGGACAGGTGTGTCCGTCTCCCACTTCCTGATAATGGCTGTGACGGTGCGATACTCGCCGCCTTCGAAATCTTTTTACAGACAGGTGTCTGTCCACAGGTCTGGTCCTTGGCTGCTGCAGAAGCTCTTGGTCCTTGTGCTGCTCTGTGCGCAGTGTCCAGCAGCGAGACCTCGCAGGGACAGCTGTCCTCAGCCGGACAAAGACGGGTCTGGAATACACCTTTACCTCTGCCCTGCTCGGACACGGTCCAGAGTCCTTTCTCTCATTTCAGCGCCGTGCCCCGCAAGCTACTAAGATCAGCTTTATCGTCAGTTTTTAGGTTTTCGCCTTGAAGCTTTTTAGCGAGTTGCGTTTGTTGCTTTAATCAAATTTATTACGTAAAGCGCAACGTACACCTTTCTTTCAAAGCATACCATTCTATCGGATGTCAAACATCACAGAAAGCGGTATTAATTGTCCCCTGTCGGTCGTTTTGTTTCTCTAGCGGTCGTTGAGGTCGGATTCGCGCAACAGACTCCCTCCGAGCCTCCCGGGTGTTTCCACGGGCTGAGGTCCATCTCGCGTCTCCAGAACCCCGTCCAGCCTCTGAAACCGCGGCAGTCCAGTGTCCAGTGCCGAGGCTCAGTCCCTGGGTCACGGGAAATTCTCCACCCAAATCGAGTAACGGGGTTTTATTATCAGCAGAGCTAAACGGCATTTACTAAAATACTCATCTCCTGTTCTCTATACTGCTTTAAACATTTTAGAAAGATTTCAGATTTCCCGTATATCGCCTATTTCTAATCGCTTTTTCATTTATTTTTTTTCCGGATTGTAACACACCCAGACTCGCATCGCGTCTGGAGTCAACGAAATTGTCCTGGATATTTCTGACTTCGCTTCCCGACCGGTTTTCATGTGTTAAGCGCACGGGAAGAAAAAATTTCTTTCCAGACCTACCTGCAGCGGCCGCGATGGTCTGTCTTGGTCTCTCTCTCCGCCTCCGCCTGCTGGGTCTTTTTAGATCACGCAGAAGGGAAGCAGAGGAAAAGAAACCGAAACTGTACTTGACGGCGATAGAAAACGCCAGGGCGTGTAGTAAAACCACAATCTCCCTTCGGGATGAAGCAAGCGTGCGCGTCTTCTGTGCGGAGGGAACAGGACGTCCAGTCCTCCTGCCGGTCTGACGAGCGGACAGGTACAGCAGAGCCTGGCGCTCCCGGCGGACTCCAGGAATCAGAAACCGAAAGGAGACACCTAGAGGCGGGCTTTCTGATCTACCTGCAGTCCGTTCTGCTCGTGTATTATAGTAAAAGAGCATCCCTCGTTGGTGTAAGATTCAAGTTCACGAAATCGCAAGTGAAATAAAAAAAAAAGGTTTAAATAAAATTATAAGCCCGTATAGCAGGAGGGAGGGGGGCTGTGGTTTTGTGTTGACTGAAAGGGGGGCGTTGTGTTTCACAGTCAGAACCGCTGTCGCAGAGGAAAGACCCAGTTCGAAAGAGGGAGAACGAGTACAGATCTGCCGACCCTCAGATCGACGATAATGGTCGTACTGGGATTGACATCGTACTCCCTTTGTCTGCGACTCCCCATCTCCGAGGACGAGCGCAAACTCTCCCCGCGGGATTCTCAAAACTCCCAGCTGCCCACCCGGGCCCGCCTGTAAATAAATATTACATTGTTGCTGTTTGACTACGTAAAAAAAAAATGTGCGCAGTCATTTAAGTCACAGTAAGATTTTTAAGTTAAGGACAGTTTATGCTTCATGGGGAAAGAGCGAGCCAGTGACCTACATCTTTCACACTCCATCCCCACTCTGTTCTCACACACGTGAGGCGATCTCTATATTCTCTGGGGTGTTTTTTTTCACTGGGAATTGTGAGTAAGCAATATTGTAAATATGTCAGGGGCGAATCCCAGTGATTTTATTGTTGTGGTGGTAATGTACAGTTTTTATAAATTCATTAAAAGATACTTCTAATCTGCTGTCCTGTGTATTTTTATAGGCATGCTACATTTGGTGTTTTATGCTAATCGCAGGGTGTTAAACTGTGTTTCTCGTCCTTATTTCTCCCTCCCTCACGGGCTGCTCACTCCTGCTCCTGCCCCCCCCTTCCCAGCCCTGGGAAACTCCGCTTTCACAGTTTCTGACTTGAAGCAGCTGTCAGATTCTCCACGTTTTATCCTGCCTCTGTTCTGAGCGCTTGCGGTTTCTGTTTCCTGACACCACTCCCGGAATCCCGGAATCACAGTCTCCCCACGCACAGCTGACTCACTGCCCCTCAGGCCCAGCACAGGACGGCACTCGTCCAGGGAGTCTCCGCAGGTCCAGACAGCTCGCAGCCACCTGCCAAGATCTGGGATCCGGGATCCGGGACAAGGGCCTGGAACACAGGGAAGGAGGGCAGGGATAGCAGGTGCAGGACCTGGGGGGGGGGGAACCGGCAGGGTCCCGATGCTGTGCTGGTTCCAGGGCGCAGTGAGGGCCGAGCAGTCCGGCTCGGAGTCCGGGCAGGATACTCCCAGCCGGGGCGGTCATCCTCAGGATGCCTCTGTTGCTGGGCTGGCAGTGGCCTGTGCTCCCAGGTGGAGCCCGAGACCTGGGCACCAGGACCAGGAAGGGCTCCACCGGCTCAAAGTGACTCCGGATGAAGGGTACAGAGCCAGTGCAGGGTTTCAGTAGGCTCTCGGAGCGCACGCTCACACACTGTGCAGAGCAGAGACGTGGCCACTGGCTGAGCTGCAGCCCGACACCCGGATCACAGAGCTGGTGCTGATCCACTGTGGTGCTGATCCGGTGGGGCTCTTCATTCAGCTGGTGCCACTGGCCCCTGTCTGCTCACAGGAGTGATGTCCCACACTCTGGCCTAAGGTTCAGGGAGGTCTGCAGCTGTTAAGGGTGGAAGCCAGCAGGACACTCTGTGTCTTTCTGTGTGAAAGGGGCAGTTCAGACACATGTACTGGGTCGTCCTGACTGGGACATTGGGTGGGGTCCTTATTCTGAAACTACCCTGGGATGTAGGACTATACTAACAGCAGAAATAAGAGGTCAGTAGTCAGCCTCTGTCCCATGCTGATGGGAAGACATCCTTCCATTCAGTTTTACCAGTTTCACCAGTTTACCAGAGCCTAGCCCTGCCTACAATGGACAGGAGGCAGGACAGACCCTTGATGAGACTCCTGTCCATCGCAAGCAACACACCCAGCCATGGGGCACAGTTCTGGGATGCTAACAGACAAACACGGCATTTCGTTGAGCTGTACGAGCCACAGGGAGACCTGTAAACTCCACACGCAAGATGTCCCAGGCTGGAATAGAGACCGAGACCCAAGAGCAACAACCAACACCCCACCCTCCATTATAATGGGCTGCAGCAAGCCAGCCTGCTGACATTTCTCAGGCTCTGGATGGATCGCGCTCGTGCTCTCACAGAATTATCTAGGTCAGTGTGAAGCGAGAGCTGGAGAAATCACCTGTGTAGTGACACCTGAGTATCTCAGTGTTTCAGCAGCTGGCTGATTTCTTGGAAATCACATCACTGAAACCTCACAGGAGGACAATGAGCCGCACTCTCTCGGGCTGTATCTGTTGTGGAGGCTTCTTTGTCTACAGTAGGAAATTAATGGGAAGGGCACAATGCTGGCAGACCTGTTTGGGAACAAGAAACCACGTGATTTAGGAGAAAGACATGAGTTCAACGGATTGAAACCCTGGAAATTTACATCCCCTCCTGCCTCTCCTTGGCTTCTTTATAAACCGGGTGCCTCCTGCAGTGTCCCAGACTCAGACCTGCAGGGACGACACCACCGGCGACCATGTCAGAGAAGATCCATCTCCGTGGCCCTGAAGGTAAGAGAGAATAACTTACAGCTTTCCTCACTGTGTCGGGAGCGTAGGAGTCAATCTGGGAGATGCAGTCAAGGAGTGTTTAGCATTCCTTGTGATTGAAAATATCTGAAAATTACCATATGTGTCATACCAATTCGAATTTTAATGAATTACAGCAGGGCATTCAGGTGACACACAAGAGTCTGTCGGATGAACTGAACTGGCGTATTTTTCATACCGCTTACAAGCCCATTATAACCAGAGAAAAAGACTCTGGTTTCCTAACAAAGAGACTGGACGTGTGAGTCATAAACCTATGAAAAGCCCACATCTGTCATAGAAACACCAGACTCAGGTTTCAGTCTTCCTTAGGGGATGTCTTTGTGAAAAAACTCAGAGTCTTTTTACAGCACCCTTAGCGTTTGAAGAGTAGCCCGGACAGCAGCCTGCGATTAGGACAAAAATTATGTTGGACGACGCTGACACTCCCCTCCAACCTTCTCCATCTCTGTCTGTCTCTGGCTTCAGCTCTTCTCTCTCTCCTTTGCTTTCTGTTCCTCCATCTCTGCAGTTTTCTTCTTGTCTTTCATTTCTCAGTGCTCTGTCGGGTATCTTTCAGGTTCAGGCAAGGTGGGACAGGTGAGGAATCGGTGTTAATTAAATCATTCCCTCAATGCAGAGACTCATTACCAGAACAATGTCTAAAAATACAAAATGTTACAGACAGGGGTCAAGAACAGAGCTAAGTCTCCTTTCCTTAAACCCTGATACCTGAAAGTGAGTAGGTTTATATCATCAAACCTAAAAATTTAATTAAATATATCTTTCTATCTGAAAAATGAATCAAATGAATCACCAACAAGGAGAGAACGTTTTTGGTCTGAGGTTTACTCAATAAAGGAAATCTGAGTTTCCTTAAGTCAGGTCTGCAAGCTCTCTGCAACATGGCTCATCCAGAATCTGATCAGAGGTTCTCTCACTTGGCTTCTTCTCTCTTCTGCTCCCTCTCTCCCTCATCCTTCTGCTGTCCTGTCTCTCCTGTGTCTTCATCCTCTGTCTTTCTGGGTGTTGATTTATTATCATTAAGAACAGTCATGCCCAGGAAGATCCCCTCTGATGCTCTGTGTTAACCTGTCCTGCGCATTGGGTGAACCAGGCATTGTTTTTAGACTCTGTGAAGTGGGAACATTAGTTACTTTTTTGTGACCATTAGAACAGGATTAAACAGAAAAAAATGAGAGGCAGTGCTCAAATTATCTAGATTAACCTGCTTTTGACAGAAAATAACAATGACATCGTATCAATAAAACGTTTCCAGTTGACAGGTGTTACTGACTGCTTTAAATTACATCAATATTGAGTGGACCTAAAATACCATAAAAAAACTATGAAGAACTTGAACTGTTCCACCTCACCTGGCTTCTCCCTATGAAGCAGAAGTTTCGATACCTATCTCCTTTGTGCAATGTTAGTCTTATTTAAACTCAGAGAACATCAGACCTCTTTAACATCACATTCCTGACACAGGTAGAGGGGTAAACAGGTGTTTCCTGCTCTCAGTCATAATTACTCTTTAGTTTCAAATTGTTTTGTGCTTTAATGCTGATCCCAAGGGCTGACTTTCTCTATACACCTAATTTTACTAACAGTATTCTTTGATCAAATGTCGTGTCAGACTCCCTTGATCTAGACTGAAGACATTTAGCTCTGTGTGTGACCAGCCCCTGAGATCAGGAGGCATTCCTGCTGTTCTTCTTTTAAATCCTTTGAAAGCTCCAATATCCTCTCTGTGGCCTGGTGAGCAAAACCAAACACATTACTAGTTACTCCCAGATATAATGTAGTTCTTACTGTATTTATGTATTTTAAAGCCTGAATTGCACACCCCCTGATTTCTTGATTTCAGTTCCTCACTTTTTGTTCTATGTCATTTGCCTATTGTTGCTTCTCCTAATTGCCTTCATGATGACACAGAACAGTACAAAACCACACAGATCCCTCTCATGTGCTGCTTTCTACAGCTCTGAATTACTCTTGTGATGTGTTGTTTAGTGTGGATCGTTTGCACTTATTCATGTTTAATTAAATTTACCAATTGTCTGCTCATTTAGACTTTGTCTAAATTTCTCTGTAATTGCTTAGTGCTGTTTCTGTGTCTCTCCCCCTGTTTATATATATTGTGCAATTTTAACAAGTTCACTTAATACACCAGAATATAAATAATATATATCAGGGATATCAACAGGCCTAAACAGAGCACTACTGCTCACACCTGCTCACACCTGTCCAAATAGACACACCCCTGCTCACACCTGCCCAATAAGATACACTGCTGCTCATAACTGTCTAATCAGACACACCTCTGCTCATACCTGTCCAATCAGTCACACCCCTGCTCAAACCTGTCCAGTAAGACACACTGCTGCTCATACCTGTCCAATCACACATCCATGCACCTGTCCAATCAGACACACCCCTTATTACACCAATAAGACTTCACAGAACTTTATGGAAACCTAAACATATTTTTTTAATGATAACAGGTATTCTTTTTGTGTAATTAAAGGATTCTATTACATCAATTAATCAAGAACCTTCCCTTTCCAAATCCAGCTATACAATGCCCTTTTTAGTTTAGATCTAACAATCATTTTTAGAACAGTTTAGGTTGGAAGACAGGCTCCAGGTAGATCATTAGTTTATAAAAGCAGCCACACCTGTCCTTATAAAGATGTATGTCTCCTTTTTTAGTGCTTTAGAGTGGACAGTTAGGGACCAGTGAAGAACTCACTCCTGTTGAAATTAATAGTTGTAAATTTTATTTTATGTGTCTTATGTATGTTAGAATGTATGTCCACCTTTCTGGCCACAAATCTGGTATCACCATGTTCAGACTCAAGCTGTACATACTAGACATGGACTCCCTGTAAAGTCTCCTGCAGTGGTCTGTGGACTTGTAAAAGGTTTTCAACATATACAAACTTTGAATGAAAAGAAATGTCCTCTCTGATTTCCAGTGGCTGAAGTCAGGATCGTGCTGGTGGGAAAGACTGGAGCTGGGAAGAGCGCAGTTGGAAACACCATCCTGGGACAGACGAGGTTTACATCTACTCTGGCATCCACATCCATAACTCAGGAATGTGCCAGAGAGGAAGGCAAGGTTGGAGACACCCCTGTAGTGGTGATCGACACTCCAGGACTGTTTGACACATCGCTTACACATGACAAACTCGTTAGCGAGATCGTCAACTGTATAAAGATGTCTTCTCCTGGTCCTCACGTTTTCCTCCTGGTTCTACAGCTGGGCCGATTCACAGCAGAAGAGAAAGTCGCAGTGAAATACATCCAGTATATTTTTGGCAAAGAAGCCGTCAGATACATGATGGTCCTTTTCACTCGAGGGGATGATCTAGGTGAAAATAAGACGATTGAAGACTATGTGAAGAAGGCTCATAGCCATCTGAAGAAGTTCATTCGCCAGTGTGGCAATAGATATCACGTCTTCAACAATAAATCCAAGGATCCAGACCAGGTCTATTCACTCATGAGCAAGATCTCCCAGATGGTGTCTGAGAATGGAGGCAGCTGCTTCACTAACGAGATGTACAGACTGGAGGAGGAGAGGAAGGCGGCTGAAGAGAGACGAAGGAGAGAGGAAGAAGAGAGGAGGAAGGCCGAAGAAGAGACTGAAGCACAGAGGAAGCGCTTTGAGGAAGAGGAGAGAATAAGACAGGAGGTTGACAGGAGATGTCAGGAAGAGAAGGAGAAATTAAAAACAAAAACAAAAAATTGGTATTCAAATCTCTGTTTAATCTCCTAATATTTCTGAAGTAGGAAATATTTTCTTCTTTTCCCAAGCTCACAGGATAGAAATGCACAGAACAGACACACAAATATGTTTCCAAGGCTGGTTTGGCTTTATTGAAATGAATAAACTCTGACATTCTTATAATCATTAATCAGAAATGTCTAATGATCTTTAATGTTTTGTCTTTTTATTTTACTTTCCAGTTCACAATAAGATGTAAAAATTAATGAATGCTCTATACCTCTGTTTTTCCATTAGTAAGAGATGCTTGATGATCTGTAATAGCAAAAAAATAGCAGAATAAAAATATAATAATAAAAAATAACAAAATAAAAATACAAACATGTCATTTTCTTTTCTTTACAAATTCTTAATATGGGTTCAAATCCAAGGACCTTGGTCTCTACGGCAACTGGGTGCTTTCTCACGCGGGATTAGTCATCGCCCGTTGCCGTGAGAACGCGATCAGGCAGGCTGTCTGTGCCACACGCCCCCCTCTGAACGGGTAATCAGTTCATCGGCGCAGGGTAAGAAAGCCCTCTTCTGGCCGCTGCCTGTTGCCCAGGGCTCCACCTATTGAGATCTCCAAATACCGAGTCATACTCCTGAGTGCTCCTTGCCCCACCCTGTCTGTCGGCTCTTGAGAGCGCTCTGCTGGAATCGGACCTTCTGCCTGAACTACGACTCCGAACCTGAATCTCTGCCTGACTCCACGGACCCGACCTTTCTGCCTGGCTCCTGACCGTGAGCCTGAGGCCTTCCTGATTCAGTGGGCTGCACAGCCACACACTGTGTGTCGCAATCGTAAGTCCCTCCTCTTAAGGGCGCTCCGGATCTTTCCTGTTTTAGTTGATTTTGTGCACCTGCCTCCTGTCCGGTCCCCTTCCTATTTCAGCCAGAGGCTCCCACCATTCCAGGCTCAGCCCTGGGAGATGGACACCCGGAAGTCTGTCTACCAGCGGGTCCGGGAGAGACCCGCCGGCACAGGCTTCACCACGGCGTCCTGACCATCTGGGTCCGGGGCTGGGAGCGCCTGGGCCCGTTAACCCACTTTAATTCCCTGTTCCTGCACCAGCTCCTTGTTGTCTCCTCCCCGTGTCTGTTTCACTTCCTTCCGGATTCTGCCGTCTGCACGGGGTCCTGCTCCAGGCTCCGTGACACCCTCGTCAGCTGGTGGTTGATATTCACAGTGCATTAAGAGATTCCCTTGCATGCTGTACAGTCACCTTAAACCCCTGATAACAGCTGACGGTAACCCTCTTAAACACAATCATTACAGGAAGACACAAGTGAAATAACTGCAAAACACAAGGAGTCAAGACATCAGACTAAGTGCAGAGGAAGAAAGTAACAATCCTTACTTATACAGTATAGCGCTTTCCTGAACTCTCCACACAGAGCACTTTACAGGTCATGGGGATCCCCTCCACCCCCACCAGTGTGTACCCTCACCTGCATGATGCTCCAGTCCGCTCCCCACACACCAGCTCTCAGTGGGGAGGAGAGCAGAGGGATGGAGCCAGTTCAGAGAGGGGGGTTATTAGGAGGCCATGAGGGGTAAAGGCCAGGGGGAGATTTGGCCAGGACACTGGAGTGGAATGGGAGAATGGGAATGTGTAACACAAACTGGCATATTTTTATATCAGACTCAATCTGAACTGAATGATTAGAATAAAATGCACTCTTTGAAAAAACATTTAACAGAAATCACAACCGCCAGAAGTGCTTCATCTACTTGAGCTCTACTCAAGCTCCGCTTTGCCTCATGGGTACAACAGCTGTGCCCCCACCTAGGATCTGAACCCACAGCCTCCCAGTTGCAGGTTACAAGGCCCGCCCATCCCCCGACACTCTCTCCCCTCCAGAGCCTCTCTTGCATCAGAACCGGACTGTGGACTTGAGGGTCTGAGTGCCTGAACAGGCGTGGCCCCTGCTGGTGCTGTACGTGAGGGAGACAACCTCAAGGCTGGCTCTAATGTTTCCCATCAGACCACACCGTGCCTGTATCCAGAGCTGCTGGACTTCAGCACAGAGCCACGATTAGCATGCAGCTCTGCACTAAACTCGCTAATTTGTGATTAGTTTATCACAAATTGCGTCGAACTCAACAGTGCCCGCTGCTGCCCTCTAGAGGACACTAGAGTACACGACTGCGCTACTACAAGTCCCGCTATTGACTCGGAGATTCTGTTCCGTCCTGAGCAGGACACTGGGTCGAAATGGAAAGATCCGAACGCAGTAGCTACAGAAGACTGAAATTATATCATCGTCACGGCGTAATAATGAGAAGCCCCCGTCTGTGTATCGCAGTATTCAACTAAAACTGCATTGTAATTACAGTACAGCAGACCTGCTGGGTGTCTCGGGTCTCACACTGAAGGACGCTGTCATCAGAGAGGCGCAGTCGTGTATTCTAGTGTCCTCTAGAGGGCAGCAGTGCGCACTCCGCGGCTGAGAACCGGCGTAGTGTGAAGCTGGAGAGTCATTTCAACAGGCGAGTCCAACGCCATGGGTGATAAACCAGCGGGCGAGTTTAGTGCAGAGCTGCGCGCTGATACCGGCCTCACCCCCAGTCAGTGCGCTGCCCTCAGCTCGTTGCGTTGTCATTGACTTTACTGCAGCTACACACTCTACATTCATAATCAAACAGACGGAGCGCTGTCACTTCTCCGATGTCTGCAGCCGTGCAGACAGAGACCCGTGAGTATTTGTGACATGTCGGGGGACTGTTCTGTAGTTACC